AATAGCTTATGAAAGGGATCCTACTGTATATGAACTCCTTTTTCTTTTCCTTTTTTTGGTGCTGCTTAAGATTAAACCCAGGGGCTTGTGCATGTTAGACAAGTGCTTTACTACAAAGTTACATTCTCATGCTTTTCAAAATTTACTTTAAGACAAAGTTTTATTGGATTGCCCAGAACTTGCCTTGAACTTGTAATCCTCCTGGCTCACTCAGCCTCCCAGATAGCTAAGTTTGTGTCATTGATCTTGGCTGGACTCTTAATTTATTCTAGGAAAGAATAAAATAGCATGTCTCTGATTTTAATATGAAGAACCATACAACATACATGTTGGCCTAGACTGCGCCAAACCTGATCATACTTTATTTGATTGGAAACTGCTGTCCAGTTATTTTATTGCAGAAAGAAATACACAAGAAGTGGTTTCTGTGAATAAAAAGCTCATGTTCTATTTAGCCATTATGGATTTCTCAGTTTTATGATCAGTTTTTCCATACTCAATGTATTGTGTTAAAAAGTATATTTTTCACTTACAAGAGTATAGTCAATTGAGGTAACTAACTCTATGTGTGTGTGTGTGTGTGTGTGTGTGTGTGTGTATGTATGTATGTATGTATGTATGTTAACCTGCTTGTGTATAGGTATACTTTGGACTTAAGTATAAATATTCTACACATTCAAAACACCTTATATGAAGAATAATGTTTGACTTTATGATGTACATGATAGAATTAGTCTTGAACTACTGTTAGAATTAATGGTAGTGTTGGTACCTTTTAAAGTATTTAGTACAGGGTCTACTGGGTTTCACTATGTAGATTGGACTTGTAGTGATTCTCCTATTTTCCACCTCCCAAGTGCTGGGATTACAGGTGCACGCCACCACGCACAGTCTCAATCACAGTCTCAGCTCGCTCTGGGGGTGGGACCAGCATAGCATGCTGGGAATCAAACCCAGGCCATTGCTTTCTGCCTAAAGTAGTATTATTATTTTTTTTTTCTGGCTCAGCTCAACCTGGGGGTGGGGCTGGAGAAGTATATGGTGCCGGGATCAAGCCTCAGTCCCTGTGTGCTTGCCTAAGCTTACCTAAGGAGGCGCCTCAGATCGCTGAGCTATCTCACTGGCTGGTACAATTATTATTATTATTTTTTAAACATCACTGCTGGGTGGCAAAAAGAAAATCAAAAAACAGGTTTTAGGCATAAGGTTTTATGTTGATGCACAGAATCTACTATTTACTTTTAACTTTTTAAACTGGGATTGATATTTGACCTGCATAAGTATATGGCAAAGGAAAGGAAATGATGGGTCTACATTACTTAATAAGAAATTCAAGAAAAATGCTAATCTTAGACATGAACAAACGTCTTTATAGCATCTAGGGAAATAATCACACTTAAGAAAACAGCTCAACCATATTCCCATGAATAAGGTATTCAGAGGAAATAGGAGGAAGAAGGTTGAAATTGAGACTGGTGTTGAAAGTTTCCATGGTTCTGAACACTTCTGTGGATAGCTTCCTATCTTCCTAGAAACTGTATTAATTATTAGAAGTATGACCAATTTGTGCTGGTGTGAGAAAGAGAAAGAAGGTAAAATAGCAAGCATCTATTTCAGCTACTCTATGAAGGAACTTTCTTACGGCATTCCATCAGCATTCCTAGTAATAGCTCCAACAGTTTTCTGTGAGTACTGAAGAAACATATGCATTTTCTGGGCATGATACTTGGGTCTGAGTTCTCTTCAAGTTCAGAACTCATAGCTCCAATTGTTCCCCACTGTTAGTGCAAGCTTCCATCCTGTGCCTAGGATAGCAGTGTGGAACGCCTGGATTGGCAGTCATACATGCGTTGCATGATTTCCTTGGATAATTTTAATAGATTCATCTAGTATGTTGTCTACTACTTTTCATGGTATTTTGAGCAAATGTGACATCAGAAGAGGATATTTTCTAAGAAAATAAGACATTGCAACAGCAAAATCCACAGCTGCTTGCCCTTGGTATCTTCATTATAGATGTCCTGAGGACATGCCTATTTACTCAAAACCAACAGAACATGAATGAACAGAGGAGAAGGAAGAGGAAAGAGATTAGAAGACAGGGAAAGGGAAAGAGCTGGATGCAAGTAGAAGGGAGACAGGATACAAATACTTTAGATGACATTATGTACAGATCCTCAGAAATTACTTTGTTAAGCAGCCAACTACCACTGTTTACGATGTACCTTAATTTTTCTTTTAAAAATGTGGACTTGATTTCTTTTTTCTAGTTAAAGCTAATACACTTAATAGGACTACAAATGGTTTAAAGTAATGTGTATTTTGGTTTTTTTTTCCTTTTAAATTTATTTATTTATCTTCACAACTCGGACTCATAGTGATCTTCCTGTCTCAACCTCCCTAGCGCTGGGAATACAGGTGCACACCACCTGCCTGGTTTTGGTGGCGGGCATGGCACTTGGTGCTAGGAATTGAACCTGGATCCTTGCACTTGCTAGACAGGTGCTTAGATGGCTGAGCTATCTCCCTAGACCAGTAATGTGAACTTTGGAAGACCCTATCTATACTATTTAACTCCATTACACTTAGTAGGGTTATTGTATGATTTATGTTTCAGAGGTCAAAATAGCATCAAAATCATGGATTAAAATCATTTGACAAGATAGCTAAGATAGCTGTACTACTAATTTCTATTAATTCGTTAAAAGGAACAGTTAGTGTTTACTTCGTTTGATCAATCTTCCTTGCCTATATCTGGTAATCTGAGCAACTATTTTGAAGATAACAATACACAATATAATAACTATTGTTAATTTCTTATCATTTTTGAAATTCTGTATAACTTTTATTATTATTTTCTTTAAATTAAAAATAAATAAAATAATTTGTACATGTTTCTGTAATTATTTTCAAATGAGAAAGTGGAAAAGGAGTGCTCCAGGCATGTAAATGACGGAGTTCTCTGACTAGTTGTATGCATATGTTGAATTTCTTCACTAATTCATTACAAGATAGAACTATTAGTATGAGAAAATATCTGTGTATTATCTATGGTAAAATAGAAGATGTATTTTACAATGGCTATACTGAAATCAAATTCTAAGAAGATACTGACAAGAGCACTTTTGCCATTATGTAGGTTTCGTAGGTCGTTCTTCCCTTTCACAATAAAGACCTTCCAGTTTAGTTTTCATTTATCATCTTAAATAACTCTCAAGAAATCAAGGTTCTACAAACCAGGACAAAAGTCTGGCAGAAATAGTGGTAGAGAGATTATTTGTTAACTAAGACACCCATAGCAACATTTCACACGCAATTGACTTCCAAACGCTAAGCTCTAGAATGGATAAAAGGCTAATAATATGCATTTGCCTATCCTTTATTTCATCTTTATCTTACACATATGCATTCATATCAAGGACATTTTGCTTCCACTTTATGAATGAAGCAGAGTTTGCTTTTTATGTGACAAACAATTGTTCCTTAGCTTATGCCTTTCGGCCAATCCGTACCTGCCTCTCATCATGAATCACTGAAGATAGTTTCTCAGTCAGGCATTTAAAAAACCTACTTGAAAGAAAGGGTCAAAGAGATTTTTTTAATTGGCCACTTAGTTTAAAATATGTAGCCATCAATTACCATTGCCCTCTACTGTTTTCCTGAGAACAGAAAATAAAAATGACTCCAATGACATCACTTTCTTTGCTTGGGTTTTATATCCAAGGATCTTGCTATCTTCCTTTTAGAACAATTTGGTCTTTTATTCTAACAACTCACAATAGGAAAAGCAATGACACCTGGGGTACACATGCTTTTCTTAGTCACTTGAAACTTATTCACTTGGGCAAAGGCTATATATAAAAAAAGCTGGGTCTAATCAATTTAATATTGATTAATTTAAATAGCAGAACTAATGGCAATAGAACATCTTTTATTTTGGGAAAGATATAGAAAGATTAAAGATATAAGAAGAAACACTTGAGTTTTAAGGTTTTACTGAATATACAGCACAACCCTTATTGTTTTCAGTCAAAGTATAAATAGAAGAATGTGTAATAAAACTGCACAATTTGACAGATTTAGACAGCTGGCTCCCTCACAAGAAGTTCACATTTTGTTAATGTCACCCACATTGAATAAGGGATGATTAGATGGTAAAGGTCCATTTACAAAAATGGTTGTCAGGACATTTTTTTTAATGGTAAAACTTTCTGTGATGGAATTCAGTAAAAGGGCTATGAAGAGAAAGCACTGGAGACAAAAGATTGCTATTAACCTACAGATACAGGCTACTGCATGGTTCATTGCAAGATTTGTCACACTGTTGGGCCAATGAAGTGTTAGTGAGACTAGAAGGGACCACCCCTTTTCTGGGGTAAGAGGGCAATTTGGTCTCCATGCTCATTTAATCCCGAGACTTCTTTGAATAGACTGTCAATTGAATCTAAATTGTGCAAAATTATGCATGCACTTTTTAATGCAGGCTATTGTTCACTAAGCGCTGAACCAAGATTTCTCAACCTATTTCCATTTGGCATGAGGTCACTTGAAACTTAGGTAATCAAATATGGAAGACAAGAGCAGTGGACTTAACCAATCTTTCTTTCTACATTATGGTTTCTATATAAACATTCACTCTGCTCTCATTCCAAATCTCACTTTAAAACAATAGAGAAATACTAGCTATCAGGCTTTAAAAATTATTTCACTGAGGCTCCTATTTTTAAAGTTAAGGAGCAGGTTGGCAAGGTCAGGCAGTGCTGCAGAAGTTACTTAATTCTCCTATTTATGTTCTAGAGGAATGAATGTTTACAGGAGAAGGACAACTACAGTGGGGGAGCCCTTGACATGAGGAACCCTGTCTTTTCAGCATCGCAAAGAGGCCTTATCACTCTATTAACATCCAAAAGTGTGAGAAGTGGCCAAAGCCACTAAGAAAAATGTCTACCAGACTCTGTAGTTTTATGTTAGAACAATGCCGTCTCTTCAAAGCCTGAACGAACGTTTACAGAAAATTTATTGAAACAGTAATAGTATTTTCAAATTGAGTTTGAAAATTGAGTTTCAAATTCCAACTAGTATCTTCATTGAGTTTTGAAGGAGCAGCATATACATTAAAGGTCATATTCAGCAAGAATTATCATATTAAAAATTTGTACAAGTGGCAGCTTATACAACCAAGATGAGATAAAAAGAACAAGTGAGCTCCTCTCCCGGGGTTTCAATGCAGTGTGAAATCAGCGACATTCTAATCACATATACTCTGACAGTCTTACTATGGTCAAAGGCATTTTACAAATGTTTAATGCTGGAGTTTTATGGGAATTGGCTGTTGTCTTGCTTTCTCATCCGCTGTTAATGATTACAAGTTGGCAAAAGGAAACACTGCTAGATTAGATCCACAGCACATTAAAGACCGTTTGGTTTCTCACTCCCCTTCTTTCCAATTAAGTTGGTGAACAATGTAACTTTAGTGTTTTACAGGACAGGTTAAAGGTGTTTCATCTAGGTGATGTCTATATTATAAAAATAAAATAAAAAATATAAATATGTAACACAAACCCAGTGCCTATTGTTAAATAAAATACATAATAAAAGCAGACCCTTCAGGAAGATTGCTTTTAAAATATGCCATTATGATTTAATTATAAAACATTTAAAAACAATCTTGAGATTAGGCTGAAGTAACCAGATTGCCCTGCCAAATTAAAAGGTAAGTGCATAACATTCTATAATTGGGTACACTGATAAAAACAAAGATTACAACTTTATATCAAGCTTCTCATTTAGAAATTCATCAGGGAGTTCTGAAACATTCTCTCATATAGTCATTTAATATAAAAATATTGTTTTTTATTAGATCCATCAGATTGCACAGTACTGTTTCAAAACTCCATTAATGTTGACTTTAGTAGTTACAGACAGAAAATTCTTGGGAAGTCAAATAATCTCTTCTGGAAACATAAAAATTCCGTTATCAATTTACAATGGAATTTCTGTGACAATTACTCTGCACAATGAAGCATATATATTTTTAAAACCCATCTGTGTTGCAACCACACCTAGAGGGGTTGTGAGTGTGGGTGTGTATGTGCCTATGTGAACAGATGTACCAACATACACACAGTGGATCTGTACATTTCTGAAAATTATTTTTAAGTTAATAAAGTAAAATGAAATCACAGGAGTGTGTAACAGGATAGCAGTCTTTTTTTTTTTTAATGACAGGATAAAAAATAAATGCCCATTGGAAGGAATATTCAAACAGTCCCGGACACTATACAATGTAACTTGTTAGATCCAGCAAATAAGATGTCATGTCAATGATCTGATCAAGAATACCTGCCCTGGTCACTCTTCGGATGTTTCTGTCCACTTGTTCACACTGAAGACCAAGATAGCCTTTTTTACAGAGGCACTTGTTGGGTCTAACACAGACACCTCCGTGATGACATGCTGGCTCACATTTTGCTGAGAGGAAAAATAAAAGCGACAATAGCAAACTGTCATTCTATCAGAAAGTGTTGAGTCTGAGACCCTCAACGATTTTATGAATAATGGAAGGTAGAGAAAGAAGAAGAAAGATAATCACAGAATGATCTGAAAGGTAAGTAGGGCAGATTTTCAGACCCATAGTTACTTGGGGCCCAGAACTCAGCAGGCAGTAGGAGACATTTCTAGAGCAGCAGAAAATCATGAGAATGTGAAGAAGCAGGAATCATGAGATTGTTTCATGGTCATGAGAAAATTTCAATGGTTTTCAGGATTAGCTTTGTTTAGCACAAAGATTTCATTACATCTAAATCTCTACTCCACAGAGACATTTCAACAGAGGCCTTTCCAGGCAGACAAACTGCATGGCTGCAGGGTCGGATCTCAACAGGGAATCATTCTGCCTAAATGAGGCCAGGTAAGGATGCCTTAGAGTTTTGGTGGGATGAAGTATCCACCGTATGGACCTCCTCAGGCTTCCAAGGGGAGCAGAGCACAATCTTCTCTTTAATTATAGTAAATTTCACAGTCCATTCCTGGGATCAGGTCAATTGGCCCACAAAGAACATTCTGAACAATCCTTTCTCAGTTACTCCACAGCGCTGAAGTTCTCTATTAAAGAAGTTTTACTATGATAGTATAGATGGAGAATGTAAAGATTTACTGCTAAAATGAGACAGAGGCATAGAATTTGGTGTGAATATTGATTGCAATTTGCTGATTGGATAAATCTGGAGAGTGCAGCCATTGCAGGCAGAATTGAATACCTTGAATACTTTGCCTTACACTTTCAGGGGTCAGGGTCATTTCACTTTTTCAAATGCATTTTCCAGGAGTTTGTGGCTGACACATGGAAAAGAATAAGAATTTTCTCATTTAAATTTGTGGGAGATGAGTAAATAATGTAGAGATATGAATAAAACTCTTGATTGGGTCAAAATATCCCAGATAGCTTATTCCTATCAACTTGCTCTGGCTTCTCTTATATACTAGAACTATTTCAATATAGTAGAAAGATGAAAGGAACTTCACTGAAACTATGATTCATGTTAATCCCAAGAATGCACATTTCCATTTACATCACGTATTGTTATTAATTAAGGTTTGTATAATGCCACCCGTATACCAAATAATTTGTTTGCCCTCAGTTTAACCATATTATCTCTAGAAGGTACTCTATAAATATTTGTTAATTGATTACCTAAATGACATAAGAGGTGAGGCAAAATAAAAAGCAAAGAATCTAACCAAGTGGATGTTATACAAAGGAAATACAGATAGATATTGTCAAGCATCAAGGAGAGAAGAAGAAAATATATCACCAGAAATTTGAATGTTATTATACTTGAACACTGCTGCTTGTTTTTTTGATCAATTAACAAAATGGGAAGCAGACTGATTTGATATAAAGTAAGCAATTTTTCAAAATAATGTAATTACTTAATATCTGTTGAGTTTGAATTGATCCCTCTTTCCCGGATGTGCTGTCATGGTATTTGATACACAATCATGGTATTAATCAATCAGATGTTATCACTATCATAAGTTGCTTAAGCAATTTAAAGTTAAAATGTATACTATATAAGTGAATTTACATATTAGTTATTTTTGTTAGATTATATAAAATAAGCAGGTTATGATTCTAATTTTAAAAAGAAATATTTGGAATAAAAATACAGTCTTTATGAATTAAGGACATTATTAAATATTAATTTGAGGCTTTCCTTTTCATTGGCAAGAGGTACCTTAATATATAAAATAGCAGAGCTCAAAATTGTTTTTTAAAAAATGTATATATGTTGATTGTTGAATATGCATCTTTAACACATAGTAGCTTAGACCCTAGGCTTTTAAATTCATCCAATTTTTTTCACTTCACATTGAACAGAACTTAAACATCATTGTGCAAAATTGAGGAAATCTCACATTGAAGGGTGGAATAACTATGAATAAAATCTCCTTTGCTCTCTGAACAGCTGCACACCTAGCTGATGGTTCACAGGGGAGTAGCAAACAGAATTAGAAGGTCTTGTAATAGGACTCTAGATAATTGCGCTTTCCCTTTTATTTAGTAACTCACTGAAAACCCTGTTTTTAGTGTGCTAAAGCAAGAAGCCAAGCAATAAAGCTCGGAGGGCATTTATGGGGTGTTTGGTAAATGCTGGGACAGGGAAGGGGGTCGGCAAGCATTAAGTCACCAGCTGGTGTGTTGATGTGTGCAGCAGTAGGCACCCCATGGAGAGGCCCCAGTTGGGCAGTGTTTCTCTCTCTCTCTCTCTCTCTCTCTCTCTCTCTCTCTCTCTCTCTCTCTCTTTTCTTTCTCTTGGCTTTTTGAAAGGCCTCAGTCATTTAAAGTTCTTTTATGTGTATGGCTAACTACTATATGTGAAGAGTTGGCATTAAGGAAATGCAAAGGACTTAATTTAAAAGTTCAGAAAAGATGAGCACTAAGATTATTGTAAAGGGTTAAATATTTTGAACACAAGATGATGCTAGAGCAGGTATGCTACCCTGTGGAGTACCTAAGAGCTGTCCCATCCCTGGTCTGTCTGAGCCCAGAGATACTCACCGATTCTGCAGAAGTCGCCTTCCCAGCCAGGACTGCAGCAGCAGGTGCCCGTTGGGGTGCAGTAGCCATTCCGACAGAGCCGGGCACACTCTGAGGTCAGGGTCTGTGCAGGTTGTAGCATGGCTTTGCACTCCTCAGGCAGTAAAGGTCTGCACCAAAAGACAATGGTCAAAACTGTACATTGGTTGGAAATCAGTAGCAGAATGAAAGCTGGTGCGTCTGTAGCTTAAACTTGTCTCTTTCCAAAGATACTTTTAAAGATCTCAGTCAAACCACACTTAAGAAAAATAGAAAAATATACCTACCAGGAAGGAAATGAACTAATCAGTCCCCCCATTTTGTTTTTTTGTGGTACTAGGGTTTAAACTCAAGACTTTGTGCTTGCCAGGTAGGCAAGACTTTGTGATTAATTTATGATCCAGGCTGAGCTATCTCCCCAGCCTGAACTAATGTGTTTTGAACCAAAGTGATTAGTCTGTTTGGCAGTATCATTGGTCTGACAGCATTCATCAAAATGATCACTTGCCTCCTAAAGAGTTTTGAAATCAATTTTTTGCCTTCATTTTACATTTATTTTGAGATATTTTTTCAGAGCTTTTGCTTGAAAGGATATGTATGTGTATGTTTGCATGTATTCATAATATTTAGTCAGTTCTTTATGCAAAGCGATATACAATGGAGATTTTATGTCTGTATATTGAAACCAAATTATATTGTATAAAATCTGATTTTATCTTCTTAGGAAGGAAATGAATGTTAATAGTAGCAAACTGAGAAATCTTATTGGCAACGTAAAAATTCATAGGTTTTTATGTTTATTGTTCTACCACTGTCTTTACTTATAGAGGAAGCCAAGAAGCCCTGAACTCTTTATGGTTCCTCTGTCTTGTAGTGTTGTCACTGAAGCTGGGTGGGCCAGGCTGGCCGCATGCTCCCAGCTGCTCATTACCTAGTCTTTGGGGAGGAAAATGTGTGTAGTGCTTTCTTATTGGTATGATACCTGGGCCAGAGTGTGGTGTATTTAAGGGATATAAACACATGTCACCATCGGTCAAGTCATCTGCAATAGGATGACCCAAACTGTTGGGCTCTTTAAGAATCATAACGAAGAAAGTGATCATTATAGGTCAAGCCACCTCAAAAGTAAATTATGGAACCTTCTGAGATAAGCAAATAGCCTTGCAAGCTCACCTTTGTTGAGATTGGTTAGTGTCATGTCTTTATGGCAATGTGGACAGTGGTAATACTTTAGAGCCTGCCTTCAGGCTGTTTCTACAATGACTTAAACCCATGTATATTAAAAACCAAAATATTAAAACATGTAGCAATTTCTTCAGCTCTTCTCCCTAGTAAAAGTTCCACTCTGCAATGAAAACACTATGTTTTGCAGCTCATGCAGCAATTCACAGAACTCCTTTCAATCTTTTCAGCTTCCTGCTTAAATCTGGAAATGGTCAGCTTATGCGAAACAACCTTAAGGGATTCGGTGGACTGGATGTATTCCTATTCAGAACACATTAACAAATATTTTCCATGTGTTTCCCAAGGGAGTCTTTCTGGGAATAAGGATGGGGTAGAATAAAGTACAGAAAACATTAAATGGTTCCACCAAGAAAATAGGAACATCGCTTTCTGGTCTTCTTGCTATTGTCGAATACCCCACGTACACTGTTTCTTCCTCATCTAGTATTCTTGTTTTGATTGTGAGAAAATGCTGGCATTTTTTTTTTTTTTTTTTGTTTCTTTGGGACAGAATCTCGCTATGTAGTTCAGGCTGGTCTTGAACTCACTGTGTAGACCCAGTTGGCCTTGAACTCAAGGAGATCCTCCTGCCACAGTGTTATGGCTTGTGTCTAGTTGTACCCCCAAAGCCTCATGCAGTCATGGGGTAGACTTATAGACTTGGTGATTAATTCATGATCCAGTGCTGAGATTATGGGTGTGAGTGCTTTTGGGATTATGAGTGTGAGTGCTGCTGGGATTATGGGTGTGAGTGCTGCTGGGATTATGGGCGTGAGTACTACACCCACCCTGAGGCAGTTAGACTGAATGTAACATAAGGCAGATGGACTTGCTCTCTGTTACCATTGTTGCTGTTACTCTTCTCTTTTGCTCTTGCTGTTTCGCTATTTTCTACCATCATGGACTGCTGCCCTCTGCCATGTGCCATTCTGCTTTGGAGCCATCTGAGTATAAACTGGAACCTCTGTTAACTGTCAGCTAAATAAACCTTTCCTTCCTTCATTCAGAGTGTTGGGTAATTTGTCCCAGCAACCAGAGAGAAGTAACTGAGACACACAGCCTCCCTTAGCGCTGGACTATAGGGGTGCATCACCGTGCCTGGTTCATGGTGGTATTTCTGGTCACCAGAGAAGCAGTTTTTCAGCAGCCAAAAAGTTTTGTGGATCACAAGTTATGATCGTTTACTAAGTGGCAGTCATTAAGTGAGTATTATTCTAATTTTACTGGTGACCAAAATTGTGGAATTTTGTGTATCTATTTGTTATCATTTGTTTACTCTCTTTGTGACTCACTAAAAAAAAAAAAAAGATATCTCCAAGCACAGTCTATCCAAAATATATTACAAAATGTAGGTGATGCACACAGTACAAGTCACATACTGCTCCACAAGATGGTTTACCCCTAAGCACAGAAGTTTCAAGAGAGGATACCCTGGAGATCAAGAAGGTAGCTGGCCAGGGTGGCACATGCCAGGAATCCCAACATGCTAGGAAGGTGTGAAGGCCCCAGGTTCAGTCCCCATTACCACACACACACACACACACCTATGCACACACACACACACACACACACACACACACAGAGCAGGTGAGTTCAGTTACACAGTAACACAGACACTGGCTCTTGTGCACTAGGAAAGGCAATCAGAATATGACAGATAGGGAACCAGTAGTGAAAGACAGTTCTCTAGTTAGAGGATCTCACCATTGTCTCCCTCCTGATCTTCCAAGCAGATGCTTTGACTATTTTGCACAGCACATCCAAATATACAGAAACTGAGACTATGAAGAGAATGCTAAATTTTTTTTTAACTAAGTAAATTTAGTAAATGGCTCTTTGTGGAAGTAATTATTTCACATATAGACATGATCCTCTCAAAGTTTAATATAAATATCTGTAGAAATGATCCTTTTTCTACTACAAATTTAGTAACTAACATTCTGCATTTAGCAAGTCAAATAAATGTTCTGCTCCTCTTTTAAACTGTCTTCTACTGGGGCTCTCTTAACATGAAAATTTATACAAAAGTAGCCTGTTTCATGAAGGACTTCCCTTCTCCTAAAGAGTTATTTTAACTTCCTCTTTCATTCTGTACTGACAGAAGCTACAGCTCTTTAAGTCAGTCATTTTCTCCAGCAAGTTCCATGCTCTTTATGGGTAAGATATGAATAAAACAAGGCTCTTGATCCTCACAGAGACCACAGGTGAGGAAGACATGGAAACACAAGAGTATAAAATGCCATAAGATCATTGTTATGATACAGGTGCGCACAGAGTATCATAGGAGAGTGGGAACACTTCATTTAAAACTGAGAGAGAAATCCTTCTATATTTAGTTGAAGATACAATATTCTGGTGACTTCTCATCAATATGAGAGATATCATTAGGAGCTATGAAAATACTACATATACTGTCAGTAAATGCTCTTAAGTTCAATTGAATGTACAGAGTAGTACTTTCTTAAATAAATTCCATGAGGACAATTATTTCCTCTTGTCTGTATCTCCCTAGGACCTAGAAAATGTGTAGCCCTACAAGATGTCTGTTGGATGAATCAAAATAATAAGAATGTGGAATCTTAAAGAACATTTATTTCCTTTCTATGTTATAGGGTAAAATATTAGAAATAATATGTGGTCTACTAGTGAAAGAATATCATAAAATATAATTGCTATATATTTATGTAATAAATGTAAAACTAAAAGCACTTGCTGTATTTCTAGTGTCTATATTAACTCAATTATTCTGAACTTTTCTAAAGCCTAACTTCATTATAAATGATGGGGCCAGGGAGATGGCTCAGTAGAATAAGTGCTTCCCTGGCAAGCACAAGGGCCTGAGTTCAATCCCCGGTCCCACAGGGGAAAAAAAAAAAAAAAAAAAAGATAAATGATATATTTTTAAGTCATATATTTTTAAACTGAATGTAACTGTGGTACATAAAAAGGACTAAAATAGTTGATGTAAGCATGACTTAAAGATCTACGACTTTTTTCTTCTCCAAGTGAGAAGAAATGAGAATGGAAGTCAGCACATTTAAATATATTTCTCTAGTAAAATTTGTGGTAAGGTCTAATAAAGGCCTTCAGTGATCCCTACCATTCCTTTCCACAAGATGTTTGTTGTGGTGGCTTTTGTCCTTCCACTAAAAAGTGAATAGGATCCTTCACAAGGAATGAGGAGAAAAGGGAATGAAAAACAAATCCTTCAGTTTTATCACTAATGCCATGTTGAAATAGCTCTTGTTAAGTATGCATAAATGCCATCTATCTGCCTGCCTGCCTGTCTGTCTGTCTGTCTGTCTGTCTATCTGTCTGTCTGTGTCTATATATCTCTCTAGATATCTATCAATTATTTATCTGGGTGGGATCTAAACAAATTTCTAGACTATGTAGTTTGGATAGTTTAATGTATTTTCATGGTACTTTTATTAACTGGATAACTGTGCAAAATTGGGTGTATGATCTAAGAAACTCACTTCAGTAGTCTTTTGTTTCTTTTATTTTTATTTATTTATTTGTTTGTTTGCTTTGCGGAACGAGGCATTGAACTCAGGCCCTTGAGCTTGCCAGGCAAGTGCTTCGTCTACTGAGCTATCTCCCTGGCCTTTGCTTCTTTTAAACAAATACTTTTAAAGCCATTCGAACATTAACTCTACTGAATGAAGTCAGAAGTACCTTTCCAAATGGAAAACTGAATGAAGACTGCATCGATCCAGGTCTGGTGGTGCACATCTCTACTCAGCACTCTGGAAGGCTGAGGCAGCTGCAATACACCCGACTACTATGTGAGTAGAGTGAGACCTCGTCTCAACATAGAAGCCAAAATGGCGAGGATGCAGCTCTGCACAGAGGCCTTCTCTTTAATCCCAGGATTGACCAAAAAGAGCCTACTCGTTGTCAACTG